ACAGGGTAAAAAATGAAAAAAAAATTGTAGTTCACTAGAAACAAAGACGGGTCAAAATAGATTGTTCTTTTTCGAGAATAATTCGTTTGAACCAGATGAAGTTCCCATTTTAATTAGAAATTGTCAAAAGCTGTTCCTAGATGATTCCTAGAAGATCTATAATTCACTAATAAGGAAGACTGGTTAACCATAACATTAATATATCTTTTGAGTTAGATGAATACATATTTTTATTAGAAATGGCCAAAAGCTGTAGTTCTTTTCGCGATAGTTGGTTTTATAGAATTAGTTCGACTAGGTAACTAACTATGTAATTAATGCTTTTTCGAGAATAAAAAAAACTTAATATTTTAAAGTGGATTTTTAAATTCGTAATGATTGTTTCAAGGATTTTGGCCGATTTGCCACCCCTTCTTTCTTTCCTTACTCACACCCCGCGATAAAGCTAGAGGAACTGGCCTGTCATGGAGGTGGCTCAGGGGTTGACGAGCCCCCTCTGGTTGTATATTATAATAGTTTTTAATAAATACAAAAGAGCAACTCTAAATAAATAGGCTTAAGCCCTTCCCCAAACTTTCGATTTTTGGCAGGCTCGCTAAAAAAAATAACTTTTACACTACTCCAACGCTTCCTCGAAAACAATATTTTCTATGCATTTTTCTCTTAATTTACATCATAGTTTAACGCCCTTCTTTGTAGTACACCTCGACAGTGCTACATATCATTGTCCATGTGTAAATATTACGTTTTTGCAATTAATAATTAAATCTATTTTATCAAAACTTGTGATTTATTTTTATGGTCATAGCGAATGCTAAACGGACTGGGAATTGCAATTCAAAACAAAGGGTATTGCAGTATCTCAGCGTGTGTTCAAATACACTAATAGGCAAAAAATTCCACCCAACTGATTTTTTGTTTTTTCATTTTCTCGATAAAAGAAAATTCTGCCTTTAATTTGCCTCATTGTTTTTATCAATAAATATTTGTTGATGCTATGTTTTAAATTGGGAATATCAATTAGAGGTAAACACACTTAATCCTTAATCCAAAACTTCCTTAACTAAAACTTAATCCAAATAAAAGATTTTTCAATGTTTACTTTTTACGGAATTTACAATGTTTATTCAGTCCCATTTGAATTCTGAAGCAATAAACTGTTTAGTTTTCATCTTAGTTTTCTTAATTTCAATATTTAAATTTAAAAATGCCACTTAGTGCTGAGGATGTTGAGCGTAGTGTGGCACTTATTGATAATGGACGTTCCATCATGTTTGCGGCTATTGCCATCGGAGTCCCCAAAATTGAACAGTACACAAAGAGTTGCACGGCTGGCATTTGCTCGAGAACACAGCCAATGGTCTTTTGAACGATCGGACTGCTGTACTTTTTACAGATGAGTGTAGATTTGCTCTACGATCTCCAGATCGGTGTGGAAGAGTGTGGAGAAAGCGAAATGAAAGGTACAAAGCTTGTAATTTTTCCCAGAGTCGACCTTTTCAACGTATCTCAGTGATGGTGACGGCCAGTTGCTATGTGGATGAAATTTTGGAACATCATGCGTTGCCTATCCTCGATGAAATCAGCGTCAATCCTATTCTAATGCACGATAAGCCCGTCCACATGTCGCTCGCATAGTACAAACGTACTTTCAACAGCATAACATCAGATCTTGGCCTGGCCAGCCCGTTCTCCAGACTTGAATTCCATCGAGCATTTATGGGACAACCGCAAAAGACGAATAATAACGTCCTAATGCACTCCACGATCTTGAAAGGTCTCTTCGTGAAGAATGGGCTGACATCCAGCAAAGAGACATTTCGAGGCTGGTAGGAAGTATGCTGAGGCGTCTTCGAGATGTAATTAAGTCAAGAGGTGGAAATCCGCGATATTGAAATGTTTTTATTTTTATTTTTCATTTTCCTTAGCAATTTACATTTTTTTTACTTTTCCAGACAAAGACTTTGATTAATATACAAAAATATATATAAATCAAGTTATATTACAAGTGGGTGGAATTTTTTGCCTGTCCGTGTATATCCCAGGGATGTGCACAAAATTTTCCTTTTTATTCCCAGTTAATATTTCGCAATGTATATCGTCCTGTCATTTTTTATTTCTATCAAACTGGGCCTATGTATAAATTTCTCAGTAGCATAATTATACTTCCTGATTTTAAGTGCAGTTCTGCACGAGGCAAACCCGAAAGTGTCATTGGTTTAAATATGCAAAAGGATACTGTAAATTTACGTTTTAATTGTCGTCTTTGTCACCAGCTAGTGACTGCATGATTTATAGTAACGCACTTAACAATTTCCCCTGGGATTCGTTTCACTATAGATGACTATTTTTTTTCACTTCATCATTTCTACCTGCTATTACAGCTCTATTACTCATTTCATCCTCAGATAAATCTAACGGATAAAACCCTTGTATTAAATCATCCATAACATTTTCTGGGATACTTTAAGTATTTTTTAATGATATTATTTCCGATATCTAATAACCAATCTGAAAATTAATTGGAATCTCCATCCGCACTCATATTCTTGGACAAATTGAATTGTTCATCGGGATTGGTATCGAGATGATGTAAAACAATTTTACCCTTATGGCAACAATTACCACCCGATCGACAAACCTTTACAATTTGATGCAGCACGACATCAAGAGCATAACATCCATATGTCCTACATCAAAATATTCTATATCGATCGTAATATTGCATTTTATCTCTTCAAGGCAATTTTTCGTTTTTGCATTTGTTGGACGATTCTCTTAGACCTTGATCGTTATTATTTGAAATTGCATTGAAAACTAACACGAAATAATGACCGTGAAATCTATCCTTCTTACAAAGTAATGAAAAATCGGATAGTTTCGCCGATAGTGGTTTCGTTGCTATCCCGAAAAACGTTTAACATTTCCATGTGTTTTTTAAAGTATATTGTAGACTTGTTTGGCGGCGATTAATTAGACATGAAATATTTGTTCAAAATTTATTTATATTAATGTTTGTTTTTAAAACAAACACACAGTATGTTCATCTAGTAACTTTCTAAAAAAATACTCTTTGAAAAACCTTTCGTTTTGGCCGTAAATCTTTATTTACGAATGTGTTTTGCTTGAAATCGTTTCAATCTTATCCTTAGTGTTGGTGATTATGAAAAAAAATCACACACGAGGGATTTTTAGTTGTGTGCTCACGTTTACGATTAGGCGAAAATGCAGTTGACACGTCGATTATGCAATATTGGTACAATTGTTTAGAGTTTGTTGAATCAAGGGCTACCTACTGAAATTGTTTATTCTTATGAAAACAATTTTGTTTGAATAAGAATCAGGAACAAGGGAAAAACCATTTGTAACCTCAGTCTGGTTATCCTAAACCTAACCTAGCTTTAAACAGCAAGAAGTTATGATTCCGAATTCGAATTTGCTCCTTTTATCAGAAAATTTGAAACTGTTATTAATAGTTCACAAGATTGATAATAAATTATGAAATTAAATTAAATTATGAAACTTTTGGTTTCGAATAGAGTGAATTTTAATAAATTCACAACAAATTAAATCTAACGTGAAAGCGATCAAAAAGCCTTCATAGAATAGAATATAACGTGTGAGTTTCTTGTGTCCTGAATCCCTGAGGCTTAATAATTTGTTGAAGTAGTGAGGAGCGGCCGGAGAATGAGGTAGCTTAGAAAAACACCTTTTTCATTTTGTGCTTACTTTCGACCTTTATTCGGATCATCTTCAGGGAATAATGTTGGTGTTATTTTTGTGGTGTCATATTGGTTTTGTGTTTCACAACACTTTGACAGAAAACCAATATGACACCACAAGAATAGCACTACAATTTATGCCCTGAAGACGACCCGAATAAAGGTCGAAACATCGGCAAAAAAATGAGAAAGGTGTTTTTCTAAACTACCTCATTCTTGACCGCTCCTCACATCAACAAATCAGAGAATATAACCTTCGGGACAGTTCGTTTTATTGAATTACTTCGAACGGACTAGGTAGTTAATGCTTTTTCGAGTTTCAAAACCAAAGAGGTTACGATTTTAAAGTTGATTTTAAGTTGTTTAATGGAAATTCGATAAAATTATACTAAAAACCTGATAGAATAGAAAAATTACTCAGTTCAGTAAGTAGAAGGACCGGCCAACATAGTTCTTTTTAAGGAATAGTTCGTTTGAACTAGTTTGTTCATGACCTACACACTAGATTTTTTGTGCATACATATTTTCCATTTTCCGACTCGTTTGACGTTAAAATTGAAGCACACACGTGTATGATCATACCTCGCATGACAATTACTGCATCTTTAAATCAAAATATCTTAATTTCCTTTGAATACCTTGTGCAAAACCCGCCGGGCCGTCAGCGATGTCGATGACCCTCCGTGACTCAGTTTAAAATGTCAGATCCTATGACATTTAAGGTGAGGAAGTAACGTCGAGTCATCGAGGAATATCGTTTCGTTTCCCGCCTCCCTTGAAATCCCGTTTTTAGTCTCCACTGCCAATTTGATCACTGCAACAACTGCTTACTTTTAGTATAAAAATACTAATTGTGAAAAAAAACTTGAGTATTCTATTGACAAAATTCTCAATTTTGTTTCTGGGATAAAAATATGCATACACTCATAAACACAGAAAATGATTTAAATGGAAGAATTTTGTAAGAAAAACTGATGCGGATAATTACTCTAGATCCAAAGTCTGCTAGCAAACAGAATATCAAATATTCCTCTCTTATAAATAGAGTAGTGTAGTTCTCTGTAGATTAGTATAGTCGGTTTTTTATTCCAACATTTTGCTTTATCTGTTTTTTATTGTCTATGCTCTCATTACGGATCCTGGTCATCTGTCCGAGAGTCAAGGTAAACGTTAACAATATTTCATTTCAGTGAGATTGCGACCGATGTAGAAATATATTTATTATCTGCATGAAATTTTCGAAATATTTGTCTCAAATGTTTGTCTGTTTGTTTTCAGCACAAGCTCAAATTCAGTGTCGACGAGCAGCGGAGGTCTCGGTGCGGACAAGCCTCAGAACTTGTGGTTGGAAAGTCTCAACTCTCCACTCATCCAGGAAGAGGGAGACAGTAAAATGTTGAAACTCAGGTTCGATGTCAGCCAGTACCAACCAGAAGAAATTGTTGTAAAAACTGTTGATAACAAGCTTCTCGTAAGTGTTTTTGAATTATTTTCAAATTAATTTAATAAGTACAAAAGCTGTGGAATGGGGGGGTAGTGTATGAGGCAGTCTATAACCTCCAGGACCTTTATGTTTGGAATACTAAATCATAAATCCTAAAATCTACTAAATTTTCAAGTACAAATTGGAATATCCTTCCTCCCCTCTTCTATACCAAAGTTCCAGTTCAGTCCAAGTTCCACAAAGCAATATCCTTCGTCCCATTTTCTATTCTGTATACAATGCAGACATTCCTAACTGGCGCTATCTCTCTGGGCAGCAAACCCAAACCGGGGGCCTTCAGAAACCTCCAGATCCATCTCTCCAGTATAATCAGACTCAACGAAACCCAATCTCAGAAATAACCTTTTCCCTTTGCCTCCGCTCTTCTCTAATTGACTACTCTGCTCCTCACCCAGCCACCAATGTCACCTTCCATTTGGAGCTTAACATCAATGGTCTTTGACTTACATTCGATTCAAACGAACAGAATATAAATGATTTGCTTAATCCCTAAATCTAAGAAAACACACCCCCTTCCGAATCACTACTGCCCTATATTTATTGCCAATTCATGGTAAACTTGGTAAGTAAATACTCTCCATCCTTGAATCAGGGACTACACAGAATGGCCAACTATATGCACCATCAGATGTGATCAGTCCATCCACTCCACACACTTGTGCCATTGCGTAGTCACACAGGTAGAAACCTACTACTCCACTTTAATGTGGGAGGATAAACTGCTCTCAAAGCCCTCCCTTGCCTATACCCACACACCATAGGCGACTGTATGCCAATACCGACCAATGATGGGCATTTTTGGGTTTATCATCGTATCACTTAAGAAAAAGGAATGCTCCTCAATCTCTGGCACCTGGGTTTGCAATGGAAGCTCAATTGCATTCTTCATACACACTTCCTCAACTCCTGGTCCTGATCTCACAGTAGTTGCCCATATGTCATCACCACAGCAGGAAGATGGAGTTATAAATGAGGCAATTACCCTAGCTGGGTTGCCATATGATCTCTAGTTAATGAACTAAACAAACCCCACCTTCTGATTTCTTACCTCCTATTGGTTTACAGCCAATTCTTTAAACTACTTAAAGATAGTACTTTGAAAACAAATACTCTCCAGTTTTGAACGCTCTACTGTAATGTCTGTTTAATTTGGAGTCAATGTCACCATTCAAATATTCTACAGTGCCATTGTGATGGCGAAGTTTCATCCTTTTCTTGAGTACATATCCTTCCTTGAGAACTGGGGGGGGGCTTGCTAGATGCCTGGCACCTGGGTGCTCTGGAATCTCAATTGTCATCCTTTCTCCACACTTCACCATTTTTAAGTCCTGGTCCCGAGCTCACTGTAGCTGTCCGTGTTGTCACCATAGTAGGAGGATGGGTTATGGTGGACATTATCCTTCCTTAAGAAGAAGGAGTGCTCTTTGATGGCCTTTACTTTTGAATATGTCTCGGATACTCTACTCGGTGGTTACTGTACTTAGTATATATTGCTTTCCCTTCACCTGACATGCCATTCAGACAGATCCCGTTATAGTTCACTGGACCCTCTAGATACCTACATTCCATTGAACAATTCAAAATGTAGCGAGATAATCACGACATAGTCACAAAACATAACCTTCACTTTCATTTGTACCACTCCTCACATAACCTCCAATCTACTATAGCCTCTCTCCCACCACCAAAAACCTCCATATACTATACTTAAAAAAGCCAGTTGTTCTACGCCTAAATCATTTGAAATATTGCTTAGAAATTCCCTACTTCATACCCAACCTTATCCATAAAATCACAGTTGTCCTCGAAACCGCAAGAAGTCGATACAGACGCCTTCTTAAAACCCTATACCCTCAACATATCCTGAACTCTCTCCAATAATCCTTTAAGAAGACTAATTAACCAACAGTTCCCAGGGAGGAAAGATAATAGTTCAGTGGTTTCAGTTTTGTATGTGTCAAATTATATAGTTTTTGTTTTTTTGACAGGTACACGCTAAACATGAAGAGAAATCTGAATGCAAATCGTTCTACAGAGAATACAACAGAGAATTCCTTCTTCCAAAAGGCACGAATCCCGAGTCAATCAAATCTTCACTGAGTAAAGACGGAGTTCTGACAGTCGAAGCTCCACTTCCTGCTTTGGCCGGCCCAGACAAGCTCATTCCCATAACCCAACACTAAATAAACACCGAAAAACACCGCCATGAGGGCTCATTTATCCATATTTAATTTTTGTATATATAATTAATTATATTTTTGAGTATTAGTAACACTGAGAGAGAAAGGGAAATTACAATAGGATTGGCTTTTCATACTTGGTTAAATCTGTCCAAATCACTCTTCAGTCACAAATAACAACCACAATTATCATTTTGAATATAAGTATAATAAAACAAATTAAACAATTATTAGTTGCTAATTTACATTTAAGTATTCGTATTATACTTATTAAACTGGGATATATATGGTCCAAATAAAGAAATATATATTTTAAGGGTGACTGGGAAATTAATAATCATTAAAATATGAAAACAGACTAATAATTATAAGTTAAAACAAAAGCTTTATAAATATGACTGAATTTATGTAGGTTAAGTTTTAAAACTATTCATCTACTTAATTAATAAGCCTTATTGTTCAATACTAGTACTAATAAGCTTTTCTCATCAAACCGTTTTTAAAAAACCCTCAAGTTTGATGTTTTTATAAGATCACTAAACTTCCTAAGCCTAAACCAATAAAATATAATAATTTAAATATAGTTTCTATTTTTCACTGTTAATTTATTACTGAGGGATGTTGAACAGAGTATTTAACCTAAATTGTACTTTTTTCATGTGTGAAACTGTATCCTATTGCAATTTCAGGCATTGTTACCATTACCCAAGGGGGAAAGACTAATTTTATTTTTGAGCTTTAACAGAAAATTTCTTATTATTTATCTATTTTTAACAGTCGGTAGGATGTAAAAAGTAATCAAATTTATTTTTAACAAAACATATGTACTAAACTGCAAGATTAAGAAAATTTTACTACGTTTCTTTTTCAGACAGAGAAAATTAAAGCCCTCATGGCAAAAAAGTTTTCAAAACATTTGTAATTGTTAATATTAAGGAATAAAAAATGGTTCAATTTGTATTTTGGATAATGAGAAGTGAATATTTATTTTGGCAAGTAACCTCTTTGAAAGAAAATCTAGCCCAACAGGCTTATACGTTTGTGCCTAACTTTTTTTTTAACTTAGTTTTTCAATTGTATATTCTATTTTTGTTTAACATACTTTTTATTAAACTCTGAGGTATGCAGGAGTGTGTACCATTGTAATCAGGTTTTCATAAAATGACAACAAAAAAATCGATAATATACTAGTAGAAGATAGCCTATTGGTGCTTTAGCTTAAACATTGTTTTAGTGTATCTAACATAACAGAATATATTTTAAAAAAGTTATATTTAGTTTACAAATCTGTATAACATATTGTTATATTTTAAAAACAAATATTGATTGCCTTTTTACATATTAAAATTGTTCTAAATGAATTAAAGTCTTCTATACTTATTTACAACAAAAAATATATACAAATATATATATTAAGTTTATGTTTATTATCACAAAAAATACTAAGGTACTGCCAGCTGGTTCCTAGTTCCTAGTTAAAGTGGTTAGGATTACTAGATGGAGGTTACAATTTCAATAGAGAATGGTTGTAAAACTAGTTCCTCCTACAAAGTTTTTTAATACAGCCATACTGTAAGTAGATGAGCATATTTGTTAACCCTGATTTAGTAATACAAAGAAGAGATGATGACTTGATAATAATTGACACGATAGACTTAATGTGCTAGCTGCTTTTCTACATAAAAGAATATGTCATAGGTACATCAAGGTAAGGTACAAGCAATCTTATTAAATTATAACTTCTATCCAGTTATCCTAACCTAGGAGAGCCAGATGAAGGGTTACAAATTTACATAGAGAATGGATGGGTTGTAGGTCTGGTTCTCCTATAAACTTGAAAATTCACGTTTATAGCTTTTACATAGGGAGTGTCAGTGGCCGTAACGGTTTAGATGTTGCCATGGCGCTCATCACTCTAAGGTATATGTTCCGGGTTAGAATGCAGGGCCGCTGCATTTGAACCCGACATACTTACAAATGGGCTTTTTTTTTAAAACACCGGCACCCTGAGGGTTCATATCGTTGACACCATGTTAAAGTGACGAATATGGATTGTCTCCACTTTTCACATTCGTCACTTTAACATGGTGTCAACGATATAACCTCATGGTTGAAATACCCTCGTAAAAAAAGACTTACATACATAATTTTTATAGAGTCGTACTGAAGTAGATGTTCATATTTGTTAACCCTGATTTAGTTCAAAATTAAATTATTAAAGGCTTATAGTAACTATATTGTGAATTGCCAGTCATTCTGGAAAAATTGGAATCGTTACCTTCTGTAAATGTTCAGTAAAGAGATGGTGACTTGATAATAATTGACCAAATAACGATAGTCTTAATGTGTCTTAATGTGGCAATCTTATCAAATTATAACTTCCAACTGGTTATCCTAACCTAGGATAACCATATGAAGATTTACAAATTTACATAATGAATGGATGGGTTGTAGGCCTGGTTCCTCTATAAACTCGAAAATTCACGTTTATAAAGTTTTTATAGAGTCGTATTGTAAGTAGATGCTCATACTTGTTAACTCTGATTTTGTAATTCAAAATTATAATATTGCCAAACTTCATTCTGGAAATATTGAAATCTTTACCTTCTGTACATGTCCAGTGAAGAGATGGCGATTTGATCATAATTGACCAAATATCGATAGTCTTAAGGTGTCAAATGGTTTCGACTTAAAAGAATATGCCATAGGTACATCGAGCTACGTACAAGCAATCTTGTCATATTATTACCTCCATCCTAACCTAGGATAACCACCTGGAGGTTAATTACGACATGTAAAATGGATAGGTTGTATATCTCGTTCCTTCAGTCGATACATAAATTCACGGTTTAAAACTATAAGTTTCATTACTGTAAGTAGAATTGCACATTTTAATAAAATATAAATGCTGTTGTTTGAGGAGCATAAATGGTGTACAGTGAAATGGAGCTTGTAGGAGAGTACGATTGAAAGATGAATAGATACGAAAAGTGGAGAAAAGAATGGGGGAAAACGTTCACAGTATTTACACTGAAAAATCAGTATTAAATTGATTAAAGAGAACGATACACTAGTCTACTTCTGGTAATCCTAACCTTGGAATAACCTGGTTAGGAGGTTATAATTCCGATAAAGAATCGACATCCACTTGTACCAAAAAGTTTCAGTAATGTAAGTAGTCGGTTTTGTTAACTTTGTAAATTATTAATAGTAGTTTCAAAGCCTTGATGTATGATTTTATTACTTGAAAGATGAAACAGAGATTTTCTTCAAAAATGCCTTACAATGTAAATCGATTTTCTGTTGTTCAAACTGGAATATTTTGTTGTAAGAGAGGCTTCTTTGCATTTTCTGTGAAACATTTTGAAAAGTTTGTCAGTGTAAATGCAAGACTATCAAATTCTGGGCTGTGATAGAAGGGTTCCACGGAGCTCAGTTTAGGGCCCCATACTGTTTATTTTTTAAATGTACACTATTTAAAATATGCTAGAACGATCAGTAAAAAAATTAATAAATTAGCCGAAGATAACAGTTTTTTGCCTAACCTGCCTATTTGTAACCCATCTTGACGGTGAAAAATACGGGATGAAGGTTACAATAATGATATATAATGGACGGGCTGTACATTAACAATTAATAAATTCGCAATCCTTGAAAACATTTAAACTTTGAGGATCTGTTGGTTGTATAAAAGTTGAACATTTTTCCTGCAAGCTTGAACTTAAAAATCACGGTCAAATAGTGTCAACAGATGAATGTAACTTGCCAATATGCTAATATTAAGGTTTAAGGCTAAAAGGAGCCTCTTTACCCTGTCCACCACGACAATATTGGCCTACTGTGTAATCTCCATAATGCCGATGCAAGTCAGCCTACGGAGAGACTACTACACTATCGTTCTAGTCTGAACACGACCTAGTTTAGTCTTTTAGTCAGTTAGTTTCTGTGTTGGTCTTTTAATGAACTTTCTCATATCCTGGGTATCATTCACATTGAACCGAGGCCTTATTCTTTTTCCATTGTCTCATGAATCTACGTTTTTAGCGGTATGCCAGAAAAACTTTCGACAGTATACTTCGACAGTAGACTATACAGAAAAACTACAACTTCCTTGCCCCTATGCTCTTGTACCCAAATTTCGATGTTTTTCCCAATTTCGGTGAGGTAGTTGCCTTTAGTGTCCGAGTAAATGATATTCTTTTGCTCGAAAGCCCAGCCTTGAATCGCCTGAAAGACAATACCATATTGCCCGAGGTATTTATGACCCCTTGGTTTATTTCTATTCCTGAGATATACTCGCTCTTAAAACTATCCTCATGCCAAATATAGTCGGCATTAACTGGGATCCTTTTATCAGCCATCGCGTATTTAATGTTAAATTTCTTATTACATCTGAATTTTGGAAATATGGCATCACCAGGCATGTACATAACCTCGACCTGAAGTTCTTCCGAAGCTTCAATTGCTCCTTTTTATACGAGTAAGTCTGGAGTCTGTGAATTGTGGCTATAACCTCTCCTAGGATGAAGATACATTTTGCTGGGAGATTAGGACTTCCAGGTTACAAGGCATCAGTGGTGGTCGTTCTCATTATCCCAGCAATGCCCAGGTTAGTTTGAGCATTACTGAGTATTCTGACCTGTTTTCTTCCTCCAAAGCGTAGATCTTCATGAGACTCACAAACGCTGTTTATAACCTTCGGGACATCTTTGTATTTAACATCTCTTCCTACAAAATCGTCGACATTTTAATAATATATAAATTACAATATTGTTTAATATCCTAGTGACAAAATAGTACCTTCTCGGTTGTTTTGCATCTATGCCGTCTAGATCGCTACGTTCTAGCCGTCACACCTTTGGAAACTGTCCCTGCATTAGCCTGTGAATTGTGGCTACAGTCTTTCTTTGGATAATGTATGTATGAGAACTTCCAGGTTCCAGGGTATCAGTGGTGGTCGTTCTCATCGACAATCCTGACCCCCTCAGCTGTTCACCAAACCACCGATCCTTACCACAGAAACTCTGAAATTTTTGAAATTGCCCCTTTTTATGCTACTAAACCACAATTAGAAAGTAGCCCTTCTCGACGAACGTAGTCAGATGCACGTGTCGAAATATATATTTTTTTAACTTGAAATTTTACCAGGTTTGACTCACCCATTTTTATTTAAATCCTCCTAAATCAACAAGGAGGATATTCGATTTTTTTATGTATGATGAGAAAATAATATTCAGAATCGTATTAAAAGAGGTCAAGTATATAAAAATTTACAAAAATCAAATCAATCAAAGAAAAAACGCCCTTTAACATTTCACTTATACATTCGGTTCTAAATTATTTTTTTTTATATTACGTATCTTCTCTTCTCTCAATCCCACGTCCTTGTCCTTTATTTAGAGTGTCCTGTAAGTAGAGATGTTAAATTCATAGAAAGTGATAATAAAATGATCTTCGAGCCGGTGAGTCTGTGACTGTCCTGTAAAAGGAGGTGTCACCTAAACGGAGTAGTCCTTTATCGGACGTTACACTGTACTAATATTTTATCCACCAACCACAAACCATGTACATATTTGGCGTTTACCATACTGCCTTGTCTCGACATTAATGTTTTTTTTGTTTCGTGATTTGACGATCCAAGTGATTTTATTTTATTTTATTTGTTCTGTCAGTTGAAGTTCATTCTTATAGCCTTATGTGGGAAATGTGTTCGCCGTTGATCGTGAAGAGGAGTGATTCGGCTTGTAGGCGTTTCATCTGGTCCGCCTTGGTGTTGAAAGTTGTTTCTCCAATGCACTCACTCCATCCTTGAAACCACTGATTCATTCAACTGGAAAACTGCCACCATAAATATTCGGGCAACGCTACTGCAGTTCGTTATTATCGAGAGAATTTTACTCTTGTTCTGCTTTTTTGCCCGAATCCATCTTGCATCCGTATTTTGCACAAGGTTGTGAAATCGTTGCTCAATAGTTCCTTGTTCAAGGAAATGGCGTGTTTGGACTTGTATCATTCTAGTAAAATAATATAAGAAAAAACAATTTAACTCTGCAAAGAAGCCAGCTTTCTGGCTTATTTATTTTTCCTAGGAACTTTGTACAGTTCAATTGACTCGATTTTTGTTTTAAGAAGTACACATTGACTGGTGCTCCAATTCTTTGTTTCCAATGTCTTCT